GACAGGGTCTCCCTGTAGCCCCAGCTGTCCTGGAACTCACTATGTAGACCAGGCTGGCCTTGAACTCACAGAGAACCATCTGCATCTGCCTCCCGAGTGCTGGGATTAAAGGTGTGCGCCACCACACCCAGCCTTAGCCTGCTTTTCTTATATAATACGGGACCACCTGCCCAGGGCTGGGTCCTCCCACATCACTCAACAATCAAGAATCTACCCCCTAGACATGGGGTCAGTCCAATGAAGGCAATTCCCCAGTTGAGGCTCCCTCTATCTAGGTGTGTCAAGTTGGAACTAAAGCTACCCAGTACATTGTCCCTTGGGATGAAAAGGAAAGAGAGGAGGAAAGCCTGCACTAGACAGAGGAGAGGGCCTGTCAGGGAGAGGGTAGTGGCCCTTGGAAGTCAGTTTCCTTGGGCTACAGAAACAATGCATTAGACCAGGCAGGCAGCTTAACCAGCAGACATTGACTGCTTAGTCTGGAGGCCAGGAGTCTACTACGCTGCCAGAGCCTCCAGAGCAGGAGGACCATTCTGGCCTCTGTCCCAGATGCTCACTGTGATCTCTGCCTCCTCTGTCACGTAGTATCCATATGTCTTCTGGTCCTATAAAAGCACTAATTATTCTAGGTTAGGGGAGGCTGAGTATAAGTCAGAGACCTTGTTTCTAAGCAAGGACTGGCAGACATTGGGAGTCAGGGCTCCAACAGTTCTTTTGTGGGATTCAGCTCACATAGGGAGGAAGAACAGATGGGATCTGCTACTGACTGGAGGGTGGGAAACAGAGGAGAAGAGGCGTCTGGGTTCTAAGGCAGTTCTGACGCACGCCTTCAGGGGGCCGATGGTCCTAGCCAAGAACGGAATGGGGTGTAGTCTGTGACTTCCTGGAGCTCTTGGTGAAGAACGAAAGCAGGAAGGAAACCCAGGCCAGCCAGGTATAGCACTAAGCAGACCTTGGGGACATGAGGCAGGAATAGCTAAAGTCATCCCAAGGGGCAGGGCAGGCAACAGAGAAGTGTCCACAGAGCCAAGCATGCCCAAGGTAGCCTGGTGAGGCAGGCCTGTAATCCCAGCTAGACAGCGGGCTGAGGCAGGAGGATGGCAAGTTCAAGGCCAGCCCAGGCAACTTAGTAAGACCCTATCTCAAAATGTAAAAAGAGGGCTAAGAATGGAGGTCAATAGGAGAGGGTCTGCTGAGCATCTGTAAGATCCTAAGTTTGATCCCTAGCACTGAAAAAAAAGAAAAAGACTATCTGACAAGGTCTCTGAAGACTGACAGCCCCCCAGGCAACCTGTCTAGCCTGGCCTCTTTCCTGAGCTCTGACCCATGGGTGCCCATCACTCAGACCCCTGTCTCCTCAAGTGCCACTTCCGTTTACAACACTCACTGGCTTTGCTCTGTAAATGGCTCCTGGCTTCTTCTAATCCCACTCTTTCTTAAGTCCACCACTACCACTTGTGCAGCCCCCCTGCACCCCACACCTATGCCCATTCCCAGTGTCCCCTCAGCACATCCATGCATTTAGGCAGCAGGTGAAAGCAAACAATATCCCCTGGACAGTCGAACTGGCTTGGCCTCTGCCCACCCTTGACTCATGGGTTCACCGTAGCACTGGGTTCTTGGCTACTGAAACTTGCCCCACCCACTTTTGACGCTCTTAGGTGGCTCCCACTAGACTCTATTCTAGTTGTAGATCTCTCAAAACCCTGCCTGCCCCATGCCTTGGCCAACCCCCAAATGGCTGACATGGCTGTGTTCTCATCGATTCTGTGCAAGAGGCAAACAGAGGCCCAGCAGCCTGCATCTTGACATAGAATGCAGGAGACACCCAGAGCAGGCTCTGCACCTGTGTACCAGGCTAAGGGCTCCAGGAAAGCTGCATGGGAGATACGAAGTGGGGACAAGGAGCTGCTGACATGATTAGAGGCAAACCACAGCTGCAGTCCTGGCTGAGTCCACGCCTTGCTCCCACCTTCCCAGGACTGGGTGGATTCCATTCTTCCCAGGCCATTGCCCCCTGCCCATGGCAAGACTCCCCAGGAGCACCTGGAGCAACATCTCTATCTTGACTCCTTAGCAAAGATCACACCTGCTTCAACTCCCTATTCCTCATGCCCTGGGGCACATGCCATCTCTCTGATGGTCTTAGTTGAGTCTGCTAATTTTTTCGCAAACTAAATGTGAAAGGCCTTCCAAGCTTCCTAGCAGATGTTGCATATTCCCTAAGGAAACTATTGTCCTTGGAAGGAAAGGCAAGCTCAGGGGGACCTATTTCCCAGAGGGTTCAGTTTATGAGGTCACTGATTACAATACGCGCACCTTCTTTTAAAGGAACTGTGTGGGGAGTAGACCTGGAGCCATGGGTCTATGCACACTGGGCCCTTTGTTCTATGAAGGTTCCTCCCTGTGCTGACCAGAATCTTCTGTTACTGTGCCCGCCCACTGAAATCTAGGGTCTCCTTGACTCATTGTCTTCCTTATATCGGGGCGGAAAAATGGACATGAGAGGGGTTTTGTGTTCACCACTGTTTATTCTTGTGCTGCCTAGATGTCACTCCTGCTATGTTTGAAAGCCTCACTGAGATGAGCTCTCAGAACAGGCAACGTTTGGAGGGGTGGCCTCCCAGATGGTCGCCGCTCTGGGCTGGCAACTTCCAGTCTGGCTTCCTTTGCTGTTGTCACGGAGTTGCCGTTGCCATGGTATTTCTGTGTGCAAGGGAGCCGAGCATGCATCTTGTCGGCTTCTGCAGCGCTCATCTAGAGCCTCAGAGTAGGGCGGTGGGAAGAGCCGCTGCAGATGGAATAGAGGAGGTTGAGGAGTGTGGGAGAGCACCCTTTTGGGCTCCCACACCTTGTACGACAGAGGCTGGGGGAAGAATAAGAGATGTCTAGGCCTCTTGCCTAGAGAAGATACGGATAGAGGCACAGTGCAAATTTGGGCAAGGGCAGCTGCTAGGGCCTCAGCAGCACAAGCCAGTGGGGCAGAAGCCAGATGGAGGGCTACCTAGCCTACTGCTGGCTCTATGCTTGCAAGCCCCCCACCAGTAAGTCTCCTTGCACTAGCCCAGATGACATTTTTTATTATTGTTTTTTTTTAATTTTATTATTTTTATTTTATGTATATGAGTATATTGCCTGCATGTATGTAAGTACACCTGTGTCATGCAATGCCCATGGAGGTCAGAAGAAGATGTTGGATGCCCTGCAGCTGGAGTTATTGTTAGCCAATGTGGGTGCTGAGAACTGAACCCGGGTCCTCTGCAAGAGCAGCCAACCGCTGAGCCACATCTCCAGCCCCAGCTTTTTTTTTTTCTTTTAAATGCAGGTGCTGGAGATTAACTCAGATCCTCATATTTGCATGGCAGACCTTTTAACAACTGAGCCATTTTCCCAGTCCCCAGATGACATAAATTACATAATCTCTGTTCAAATCCCTTCAGCAACTTCACTTAATTTCAAAATAGAATCAGCTCTTTCTATGTCCTATGGAATACACCAACATGGATGTCCTGTCTGCCTTTCCCTCTGTCCTGCAGCCCTGCTCACTGCACATGGTCTCCACTGGATGCCTTCCTGTGCTGTCTCACATGGCAAGCTTGCCTCAAGTTTCAGTGGAGACGCCAGCTTTTTGGAGATGCCAGGACCGTGGGACGAGCACCAAGGACAGCAATAGGTGTGGAATGGAGCTGGCCGAGCACCAAGGACAGCAATAGGTGTGGAATGGAGCTGGCCTGGGTCTTTGAGACAAGATGTGTGTGCTGTGGACCTCAGAGTCAGAGCAGTGGAGCTGCCAGTACCCTTTGGAGTCCAGAAGATGGTGAATGAATCCCAGATGTCCAGCCTTGAGCTACTTTGCTGGACTTTGGTTTTTGCTTAGGTGTGCCCTATTCTTCCCTTTGAAATAAGATAGTACTTGTTTGGGATTTTATAGAAGCCCACAGTTAAGAGACTTTTTAAAAGAGACTATGGACTTTTAAATGTTTGTATTTTTTGTTGGTTTTTTTTTTTTTTTTTTTTTTTGGTCTTTTTTTGAGACAGGGTCTCCCAGTAGCCCCAGGCTGGCCTTGAACTTCACAGAGATCTGCTTGCCTCTGCCTCCCGAGTGCTGGGATTAAAGGCGTGCACCACCACGCCCAGCTTTAAGTGTTTGTATTTTTGAAGGACTGTGGGGCTTTTAAGTTTGTATTGTCTTATGTTGTGATAGTAACATCATATCTTGGGGACAAGAATTGGAAAGGTTCTGGTCTAATAGTGATGTGTTTTTGTGTCAAGTTGACAAGGGGTCAGTTGTGCTGGATAGCTTTAGTGTCAACTTGACACACCTGGGTTGAGGGAGCCTCAATCATGGAATTTCCTCCATTGAACTGGCCTGTGGCCATGTCTGGAGCACATCTTCTTGATTATTGAGTGATGTGGGAGGGCCCAGCCCACTGTGGGTGGTGCCATCCCTGGGCAGGTGGGCCTGTGTTGCATAAAAAGCAGGCTGAGCAGGGGTCTGCTAAGCAAGCCAGTGAGCAGCATTCCTCCATGGCCTGTGCTCCAGCTCCTGTTTCCAGGTTCCTGCCCTGAGTTCCTACCT